TCAAAGTCAGATAATAAACATGAATAAATGTGTCTTCTAAAATCTTTTTGTCTTTATTTGTTTGATGTCTGAATTAAAATTACAAAGACAGCAAATGTAATTTACTTAATAACAAACTAAATGGTTTATGTCTCAAATGTGCAGCTCCAGCTGTAGATTAGTACAATGTTTTATTTTTCATTATGGAGGACAGAAACTGACATAATCAGAAATAAAAGTAGTGTAGAGAACCCTTGTTAAAAATCATGAATATCATTTTTAACTGTGTATCCCTCCCCGGTTCGATGATGGTAACTGTTAAACAGAACAATCCAATCACCACAATACACAGAAAACACACAAAGTTGTTCCGGTTTATTTTGGCCAGTTAAAGTTAACTGACTTTTATTAAAGTGTAATATTGAGCAATTAATATTGGGTTACAACAATCGAAACAATAAATGGGCTCTCACTACAATATTATTTGTTGCTACTTTGAAGCAATTTGTCTAACAGTATTAACTGGGCAAAAGCAGATTAATTTATTTACGAAAGGGTCAGTGTGTGTGTGTATGTGTGTGTGTGGGGTAAATGGGAGGGACCAAGAGACAGAGATAATAGACAAAAATAAAGGTTTCTAAAGGCTTTTCAGGACAGCATAGGCCGGGCATGTCTTGGTCAGGCTGATGGCAGAACAGTTCTCTTCTCATGGACTTGGTATTTCAGCAACGTGGCGGTGGTTCAAAACCAGCAGGTCGACCAGGAACTTTGAGGAACTCACAGCAGGATGATAAATCCAGGTTTTAGGCTGAGCAGCCTGACACAAAATAGTATTTCACCAAAAAGGTTTCCTTGTTAGAACAAGAGGAAAATTATGCTGCAAGGTGAACTGGAAATGTTGCTGTTTCCAGTATAGGAAGAGAGAGAGACAGCTGGGCAGATGACTAGCGTCAGAGCCCAGCACAAGCAGAAAGCCTGACTGACGAACAGGAAGTAACAAAAAGGTTTAAAGACACAGGAAGAACTGTGTGTGTAGGGGTGTTATCTGCAGGTGGTCAGTGTATTGGWGAGTTCTCACAAGAACCAAACCGTGTGTGTGTGTGTCTTTGTGTGAGACCCAAGGCTGAATCATCAAAAACACACGAACCTGTATGAGCATAGCAAAACTCAACTCAAAGAACATTATATTAATATTTCAATTACCTAATGATTAATTATGAACTATTATTAGTAAACGAATATGATTAAGTAATGCTTGTTRAAAACAGAAGATGTAAAAAGATAATATAAGCATTGATTAAAACATTCTGTTAACACTAAATCATATTTCTAAACATGTTCTAAACAACAAATAACAACAAAYGTACGGTTATAAAATAACTAGAGTGTGATGTGCAGGCAGCAACAACCCAAGGCGCAGGCAAAAATCTAAAGTTTAACAAAAGATTTATTGATAAAATAAAAACGCTGGCAGGGCAGCTCAAAAACTCTCAGAGGAACAGGAACACAGAGAACACCACACTGACTGGGTAAACAGCACAATGAACAGACACAGACTGGTGACAAGACACCAAATATAAAGACAAACAAATTAAGAGACAATCGGAAACACCTGGGGAGACACAAGAGGGATCAGGTGTGTGTGGGCGGGGCTGTAGGGCAGAGCAACACTGGGGAACATTGAAAACACTAGAAAGTTAAAGAAAATAAACACAGACCATGACAAAGAGAGCCCTTTTAAAAAATAAAGACAAAGTCAAACACATTTTAAAGGGTTTAAGCATTTGAATTATACTTGTTTAAAGAACAGCAGTAACAGACGGAACATTTGTTTTGACTTGTTTTTATCAACAGAATAACAAGTCTCTTGAGAACAAGATCTTTCCCAGGGGAAAGGAGAGACAGTGAAAGGCTTGTTTTTTTATAGTCCTCTGGTGTGGACTGAAACAGTTCAGTCTGACAGAAGAGGGCTTTGACCTCAGGCGGTCAAAGGTCAACCAGTGGCGAGATGAGGTGAGGTGAAATGGGCATGAACACTACAGTAGAAATAGTAAGTAAGCAAGTAAAACTTCATTTTTATAGCACATTTACAAAGTGCTTCAACAAACACAAATAAAAAAATAGAGAGAGCAAATTTAAACAAATGCAAATTTAAAAAGGTAAGTTTTTAACTGAGCTTTAAAGGTGTCTGCAGAGTCTGCTGATCTTAAATKCAGAGGAAAAGAGTTCCAAGGCCTTGAAGCCAGAGACAAAAACGCTCTGTCTCCTTTAGTCTTTAATTTTGTCTGAGGAACAATCAGCATGTCTTCATCAGAAGACCTCAGAGCCCTGACAGGAGTGTGAAAATGTAAAAGTTCAGAAACGTATTGTGGTGTCTGAACATGCAGAGCTCGCCAAGTCAAAACCAAATTTCTGAATTTTACTCCACAATGAACTGGGAGCCAAGGAAGGTGCATTAAAAGTGGAGTCACATGACAAAACTTAACAGGACAACTATGGACACAAGTCCACAGTCTGACAGGACATGTTTGGACACAAGTCCACTGTCTGACAGGACATGTTTGGACACAAGTCCACTGTCTGACAGGACATGTTTGGACACAAGTCCACTGTCTAACAGGACATGTTTGGACACAAGTCCACTGTCTGACAGGACATGTTTGGACACAAGTCCACTG